ATGGTTGTTTAAGAAAAAGTTGGGTGTAGATGGAAAAGTAGAGACTTTTAAAGCTAGACTGGTAGCTAAAGGTTTTCGTCAAAGACCTGGTTTGGACTACGATGAAACTTTTTCTCCAGTGGCTATGCTCAAGTCTATTCGGATCCTACTTGCTATAGCTGCTCACTATGACTATGAGATCTGGCAAATGGACGTTAAAACTGCATTTCTAAATGGTGATTTAGAAGAGTGCATATATATGACGCAACCAGAGGGTTTTGTAGTTAGTGGGAGCAGTGGAAAAGCATGTAGATTGCTTAAATCTATTTATAGACTGAAGCAAGCATCACGGAGATGGAACATCTGTTTTGATGATGCTATCAAAGAGTTTGGTTTCATCAAAAATCCAGATGAACCATGTGTGTATAAAAGGATAATTGGGAGTATTATATCGTTTCTTATGTTATATGTAGACGATATACTCTTAATCGGTAATGACATACCGTCATTACAAGCGGTTAAAATTTGGCTATCAAAAAGATTTTCCATGAAAGATTTAGGTAAAGCATCCTGTATACTGGGTATTCAGATCTATAAAGATAGATCTAAAAGGATGTTAGGATTATCGCAATCTAGATACATTGGCAAAGTGCTAAAACGGTTTAGCATGGAAAATTCCAAGAAAGGTTTTGTACCTGCATCTCCTGGAATCTCCCTCTCTAAAAAGATGTCTCCCCGGACTGATGAAGAGAGGAAACGCATGAGTCTAATTCCTTATGCCTCGGCAGTAGGATCGATCATGTATGCCATGTTATGTACTAGACCAGATATCGCTTATTCACTTAGTTTGGTAAGTAGATACCAATCTGATCATGGAGAAGAGCACTGGAAAGCGGTCAAAAATATACTTAAGTACCTTAAAAGGACGAAGAGTTATTTTTGATATACGGTAGAAGTGACCTCCGAATGAAGGCTTTTTCCGACTCAAGCTTTCAGAGCGATATCGATGATAGTAAGTCTGTATCAGGATATGTTTTCACCCTCAATAGAGGAGATGTCAGCTGGAAAAGTTCCAAGCAGGATACAATAGCAGACTCGACGATGGAAACTGAATACATTACAGCTAATGATGCAGCTAAAGAAGCTGTCTGGATGAGGAAGTTCCTTTTAGAGCTGGAAGTTGTTCCCACCATTAAAGATCCAGTACCTTTATACTGTGATAATAATGCTACAATAGCTCTGACAAAGGAACCCCGATCTCACCATAAGTCCAGACACATTCTGAGGAAGTATCACTTGATCAGGGAGATAGTTGATCGCCGGGAGATCAAGATTGAAAGAGTAGACACAAAAGATAATATAGCAGATCCATTCACAAAGGCAATTGCTCGTTCACAATTTGAGAAACTTGTTGAGCTATTGGGTATTAGATACTATAATTGGCCTTAGTGCAAGTGGGAGTTTGTTAGATATAGGTGCCCTGCAGGCAATTATTGTATATTGTAACAGGACCTATATGTATATAACATCCTTGTTCAAAATGATAGTATGCTATTTTGGTCAGATTTATCTGATGTTCTAAATATACAGATAATGTCCTTAGAATAAATACTAGACTATCAGACATTTCGGATAGTGATCGTAATGAAGAGATCTGATTAGTCGGTAACGTATATTCTAAAATGTTCCTAGTTGATGAAGTGTTGAGATAGGACATCATCACTTTGGTTTAGACTAGTGTATGCTTTATTTCTCCTTTTGAAGGAGATGATCAATCTCTTAGATCATTGATGTGAGACATCAAGATACAGTATACAGGTGACTCATTAGTGAATGAGTTGACTGAACGACTCGCCGAGAACATCTAGTTGGTAATATACTTAACTGTCAAATAGAAGTTCTCAAGTGATATAGTACATAGTAGTCTCTTGACCTGAGGCATGAGTGCAATATCTTATATGTCAGTAAAGATGTATTTAGACTTTTACCTAACCATAGTTCTTATTGAATTGTGCATAACGGTTCTTGTTGGGTACATCCCGAGACATAAGTAGATATTGAGATGCCAAGAAGAGATTCGTCTCTCCCAGTATAGGGGTTGATGTCATAAGATTGTTTGATATAACTATAGCCTGGAAATCCTTGGCCAAGGTGAATAAGATAAACTGAGTGTCAGTTTGATCTTATAGGTTATGAGTTTAATATCAATAAACACTAATCAAGCTATTAGGGTTTGACAGTTTGCCATACCCTAGGCTCAATAGTTTGACATGGTTTGACGAAGAGACCGGACTGTACGGTATTATCATTGAGTGGTCCTGATAAAATTAGATAAGCATTTTGCAGACCTTTATCACAACTTATACCCGGGTGATCTTCATGTGTAGCTAGCACCTCTATTGTACTTATGGATATGATCCACTACCGAGTTTTTTAAGTTGGGCCCTAGAGTCACACCAAACGCGTACTTGAATCCTATGAAACACTATTTATGGAGTGATGCGTATGATTGATACGCACATATGATTTCTTCCGGATACACATAAACGGTTATGTATATCGGTAAAATCGGAATGCTAAGTGCTTAGGAAATGAATTCTAGTATTTTTTTCCCATAAAGTTAACTTTTAGTCAACTAGTTGACTTTTTGGTCAACGGTTGACTTTTGGTCAACTCTTGATTTATTTGGTCATATAGTGACTAATTAGTTAAAGATTGGAATAATGCTATATACCGTATTTATAAAATACTGTATTAGTGATAATAATTTGGTATTCTTATTTATGAAATACACATATCATGTATAATGAGTCATGAGATGAGTCACTTAGTGGTATGGTTTGAGCACATGGTTTATTAGCACATGGTTTTGAAATGTAATGATTCATAAGATGATTCATTGCATGACTCACTTGATTAATCATTAATTTTTGATGATTCATTGCATGACTCATAGGATGAGTCATTCATATCATGAACACATTTCACTCTATAAATATGAGCTCTTTTTCTTATGGAAAGGTTAATGAAAAATTGGCTAAGTGTTTTTTTTTCATAAGAGAATAAAAGAGAGCTCTCCTCTTACTAAACTTTAGCAATCTTTGAGCAAGAGGAAGTAGTAGGATTTTAAGAACCCCGGGGTAGATATCTTGCCTTGTATCTTAAGAAGACTCCTATTTTATCAAGCTCACTTGAAGACTTGGAGATCCACTACAAGGAGATTTTCTTCTACAAGGAGCAAGAGCTAGGGGTTATTCGATCTTCCATCGAATCACGCTACGAAAGTATGCCTTTCTAACTCTTGTATGCTCACTTAATAATAAGGATCATGTTAGATTTAATTAGACGATCCATATGAATATTTCATGCTCTCTACATGCTTAGTATTTTTGTACATACATGTCTTCCGCTGTGTATTATGCATGTAGACATAGCACGATTTCCTTCAAGAACTAGCAAGAAATGAGGTAGAACTAACGCGGTCTAAACAAAAGCTAACACTTACTAGTTAGTACGCCAGCTTCCCTCCTGTTAGTTCTAGCCCATCTCGAGTTAGTTCTACTTCGTGCTGGCTTCATTTCTAGCATAAGTGTTTGTTCTATTGCCCATGTTAGGCCTAGATCACTTCTTTTTAGTTCTAGCTGTCCTACTATTAGTTCTACAATATCTCGAGTTAGTTCTACTTCGTGCTGGCGTTATTTCTAGCATAAGTGTGTGTTCTGTTGGCCATGTTAGCCCTACCTCACTTCTTGTTAGTTCTAGCTACCCTCCTGTTAGTTCTATCTCTTCTCGAGTTAGTTCTACTGTGGGCTGATGTTATTTCTAGCACAAGTGTTTGTTTTGGTGGCCATGTTAACCCTACCCCACTGCTTGTTAGTTCTAGCTGCCCTCCTGTTAGTTCTATCACTTCTCGAGTTAGTTCTACTGCGGGCTGGCGTTATTTCTAGCACAAGTGTTTGTTTTGGTGGCCATGTTAGCCCTACCTAACTGCTTGTTAGTTCTAGCTGTCCTCCTGTTAGTTCTATCCCTTCTCGAGTTAGTTCTACTGCGGACTGGCGTTATTTCTAGCACAGTGTTTGTTTTGGTGGCCATGTTAGCCCTACCTCACGCTTGTTAGTTCTAGCTGCCCTCCTGTTAGTTCTATCCCTTCTTGAGTTAGTTCTACTGCGGGCTGGCGTTATTTCTAGCACAAGTGTTTGCTCTGGTGGCCATGTTAGCCCTACCTCACGCTTGTTAGTTCTAGCTGCCCTCCTGTTAGTTCTATCCCTTCTCGAGTTAGTTCTACTGCGGGCTGACGTTATTTCTAGCACAAGTGTTTGCTCTGGTGGCTATGTTAGCCCTAGCTCACTTCTCATTTAACATGAAAATACTTACAACACACAACAACAACGTAGTTGTCTGTAAATGTACACGCAAAACAATTAACAACATATTAACAACATGAACATACTTACAACATTGAATACACAACAAAAACCTTGGAGAAAATTAAAATAATATTTACAAAAAAGGTGCATCGCGTGCATACAAAAGAGCAGCACAAAACTTTGCTCTATATTTTGCACAATATCCTTTTGAAATTGTTATCGACCGTTTTTCGACAATGCTGTTAATGAATTCAATCATAAAGATCCCGCAAACTAACGTTCTGCATTTAGGGGAAAAAATATTACAATATTGAAAATGACTATGAACAAAAAAAATGAACAATTAAATTAGAAATGCATGAAACACTTACCGTCCTTGTTGTGACACGGCAACTGACACAAGACCATGATGCTCCAATTTCCCCAATCCCCAATTACTCTCAATGAAACTCATAAACTTATTTCTAAATTTCACAGCATCGACGGTATAAATGGGGGAGTTGATTGAGGAGTAGTGATAGAATTTTTTCTCCTCTCTCACTAACTCTACCAGGTGCCAATGTCCAGAGCTGACAATCGGGATCTGAATTCTTTCACACTCCAAGAACTTCTGCTGAGAAACATTTTCCTTCATTTGTTTTGCCACCATTTCAAGATTTCCTTCTAGAAATGCTTGCTAAAAGATGCAATAATGTCAACATTGTGGGATAACATAATAATAATATCCACCAATTAGTGAAAAAAACAAGGATATACTTACTGCAAGCCAAGGTCTTGTGACATGTATCTTTCGATCATAACTATCAGTTGTTTCAATCTTGTTACAAAGCCGAATAACAAATGCATCGATCACCTACAAAAATTACCATGAATGAATAAAATAGTTAATATAAATTATTTTATATACAACATCAAACAATCAATAACACAATTGTTTAGAACCTACATCGTCACTGAGTTCACCTCCCGTTAATAGTATATAAGCATCTAAGCGAGATACGCTTGCTTCGGCACACTTCCAAATGTACGTATCACTATATGCAAGTACATTGTGAGAAAATTGCTACTAGAATTAAGTAAATTCAAAGATTATTATTAGAATAAGTCAGTAACAGTTACCTGTTCATTCTCGATTGTAGAAAGTCTTCAATTAATTTGTTCTCATAATCAAACGCCAGTGCCTTACCTGGATAGTCTCTAGATGTAGGTATGAAGCCTTCTTCATTTTTGTACTTTTTTTCCCATCAGGACTATCCAATATCTGGATGACACGTCTCTTCTTTGTGCCTTCCTTTGGTTGATCTAGAGGCATATAAGGTGAAGTAACAGAGGGTCCATCCTTCCTCTCCCTCTTTCCGACAGCCCGTTTGATAGATGGCGTTTCTCTGTTATTCTCATTACCACCTTCATCTTTTTGAGAAACATCTCTATAGAGTCGAGAAGGCATATAATTAACAAAGAGTTACACAAGAATTATATGGAAAATATAAAAATTAAAATTGCAAGAAAATTTAAAAAACTAAACTCACCGAGCATCTTCTAAAATTCTCATGTCTCTTGGGCTCATCACAAAGTCATCACATAAATCGGCTTCCGCAGTTCCTTCCAAATTCTCATATTCCTTAGCTTCCATATCCTCTTTGATTTTTTTTCTTCAGTTACATTTCCGTCATCCTCTTTCTCCTTGGTTTTTTTTGGCATCTAGCACTACGCTCTTCTAATTCTTGTAATTCTGTAGTGAGCTCATTCAACTCGTATGTCTTCTCCGCAATTAAGAAAATTAATTCAGCTTTCCTTGATTCCTATTTGACAAAAAAATCTAGTATTAGTACGTATACTATAGTTGCAAACATAGATACTAACAAAAGGGACATAAAATAATGAACTATTAGAGCAACGATATGTACAAATACTATTGGCGATGCTGTATGAATAAGAGGAGTATTCTCTTGGCCATTATCCGTAACCAACTTCGGGACTCTATATAATTTGTTCATAGTAGTCCTCCTCCACTTTCCAATACTCTTCACACAAAAGAGCAGCGGTAACCTTTCAACATCTGAAGTATACTCTAATTCCCCCATTTTTTCATAAAACCAAACCTACAAAAAGAAACTACACATTAGCATGTGCATAAACAATAATTATTATCAAAATGAAAAGATATACAAAATAATGTTAATGTAACTCACCAGTAAAATAGAGGAAAAACCACCCATGTACCCGACATTTGAGCGCTAACCTAATTCCCGCATACTAAGAGACTTCTTTGATTTACTCATCTCTTTGCAAAGAAAAGTGAACACCGCATGGCACCAATTATATTTATGCAAAGTTGATAACTGCTCCACATATCTAAACGCCCACAAGGGGTGTCTTACATGTCCGCGGGCATAATATGAAGTCGATAATGAAAGCCACAATAAGTTTCACACATATTATAGGGTCTTCATTAATCATATCTACAATCATCTCGGCCATTCTATCGCGCTTCCCCGAAATCACCGCCTTCTTTTCCTCATCGGTTTTCTTCTTGCCTTTAGAGCTACTACTCTTCTTCTCCTTGAGTGTCTTATAATTCTTTACAAAAAATAGGTGTAGATTGTATTAGTCGCTGACCCACTCATTTTTATCGGAATTCCCTCCTTTGGCAATCCGGTAATTCGGTGAATATCATCTATACCGAACACACAATTTTTATTCCCAATCATGAATGAGCATTTATCGGGATTAAAATTTTGAATCAAGCAATCAATTGCTATTTGCTCATTGCTCAAGGATGTGGGTATATTGAGAAAGTTGTGAAAAGGTGTCGTCTGTAGGGCTTTTATGTGTCTTTCATCTAATATTATTCGCTTATCAATTAAATCTCGAAAATAACACAAATTGGCCGGAATTCTCAAGTGTGTTATCTTAGCCCTACAAGAAAATTATAATTCAGAAAGAGTTAAAAAATAAATATATTTGGGCAAATTAAGACGCATATTAACAAGTTTATTAACACAAACATTATACATCATGGCTTACAACAAAATTATAATTCAGAAAGAGTTAAAAGTTAAATATATTTGGGCAAATTAAGACGCATATTAACAAGTTTATTAACACAAACATTATACATCATGGCTTACAACACCGTCGCATATGGCAGGGGCACTCTGATAAAATATCATAATTTCATCATTGGACTGACAGACAAAGTTTCATACGGGGTTTCTATATCTAACCAAACAACTATATAATGCATAACAGATTTAGGGAAGGGGAGAAACACATGCAAGGAGATATATCTCATCAAGCAATGACTTGTTGACACAGACATCAGTAGGCGTCGGCAGCAATTTCAACTTTCGATGCATATTAACACAAACATTTGAACTTCTTCAAAAAAATTACTTACGAAGTTGGAGGATTATTGCATTTAGAAGAGGAAGGCTTTGATTTTGAAGAATTCGAAGACGTCGACGCTTTCAATTTGTTCGAAGCCATGAGGGCTGACGTCGAGGGCTTGGTCGAGCTCCAGAGGCGATGATGAACCTGAGGGCTGAGCTCGAATGCCGTCGGAGGCGTGGCTAATGACGAAGGCTGAGCTCGATGGCGAGGAGGAGTAGACGGCGATGACCCGGAGGCGACGCTCAGCGGTGGCGATCTCGGGCGCTGGAGAGGAGGAGGGGAGGTGATGGCTAGGGCAAGGGGACGGCGGCGACGCTGAACGGGGACGTCGAGGGCTTGGCCGAGCTTGGGCGGCGGCGCTTTCGGGCGGTGGTGAGGAGGAGAGGGTCAGTGATGGCCCGACCGAATGCACGATCTTGAGCGCCGCGGCGATACTGATCGGCGGGCGGTGAGCTCCGGCGGCGATTTCGGGCGCTGGAGAGGAGGAGGCGGGAGGTGATCTGAGCGGGAGAGATGAGAGAAGGGTATGATTTTGGGGGATGGATTTCAACGAAGGACTCAGATCTCTTTATTGGGTTTTGAATAAACGGCCCAGATCGCGCATCCTCAGAGCAAGCCTACTGGAGCTTCACCGCGATTCATTTTTCATATATATATATTATATATTATATATATATATAATTATTTAATAAATATATATATATATATATATATATATATATATAATATATTATATATATATATATATATATATATATATATATTATATATATATATATATGAGAAAAATAAGTATACTTGGTACCAAGCATAAATTTTGTGCTTGGTAGTGAGGTGTCTCATTCCCATCCACTCATTCAATTGAGGGGACACATTCAATCCATGTGAATGTGGTCCCCTTATTTGAATGAGTGAGAGGATAATATGCCACCCTCACTACCAAGCACAAATTTTGTACTTGGTACCAAGCATACCCATATTCCTCATATATATATATATATATATATATATATATATTATATATATATATATATATATATAATATATATATATATATATATATATATATATATACTTGAAAACTAAAAACACTATATATATATATATATATATATATATATATAATATTATATATATATATATATATTATATATAAATATATATATATTATATATTATTTGGTTTTTAGTTTTCAAGTTTATATAAATATGAATTTGTGAAAAATGTTGAGTTATTTGTTTATGGACTTAACAATCATTATATACACATTTTATTAAGTCTATAAAATCATTTTATAAATTTTTAAAAGTTTGTTTAAATCAATATGTCAAAAATATGTGTGTTTAGTTTTCATGTTTTTGGATATTTTTACAAAATGATGATATTTCACAAATGGGAAGTGCTATTTGAAAACCAGTTTTTGTAACATGTTCATTTTTATATTTACAAGTATTTCCCAAAGTTTTATAATTTTTAGAATTTATTTGCTATTTTTAAAGGCACTTTAAAGTTTAGTTTTACTGTTCATTTCAGGCTGATAACTCGTTATCAGTCGACTGATACATGCGTTCAGTCGACTAAAAAATATCTGGAATAGCTAAAAGTTTCTGTTTTTATATTGGTTGACTGACCAGTCGACTGATGAGATCATCAGTCGATTAATAAGGTTATCAGTCGACTGATAAGCTAGAAAATGCCTACAACGGTCAGCTCATCAATCGACTGATGAAACCCGTCAGTCGACTGACGACATAATAGCTAGTTTTTCTAGATTTTCATGTTGCCATTATTTTATCTTTTTGCTGGGATTTTTTTGGGTTTTTGGGCTTTGTCTTATGATCCTATATATACCCCATACCCTCTAACTTCTGAAAGAAATTAAGGAGTTTTAAAAATAAGTTTACAAGGGTTTAGTTTGTTTTCAAAGTGTGTTTAAAGAGTTTGTTTGTGAAGAAACTTTCACAAGAGCAAGAAGAGATTATCCTTTGGTGTTTGAGCTTCAACTCATCTCTCTCATTCTTGTCATTTATTGGAGAAGTTTTCTAAACTCAATCTAGCTTTGCATTTATATATAGTTGTTTGATTATCATTTCTAAGCTAGTGTTTATATTGAGTTTAGTTTGATTTTGATTTATTAAATCTTATTGTTACACACACTCACTTGAGCTTTCAGTATTTACATACATAGTATAATTTGGATTGTGAGAGATTGTAACCTTGAGTTGTGCTTAATTGAGTTCTCATCTTATTTAGAGAATAATTATTTGTTGTAGAGCTTAATTATGAGGAATCACTTTGTATTACACTAATACACCGAGAAGAGTGTGTGGTGAGAGATGGGGTCATCCTAAGAGGAGTGGGGTAGATGATAATGTCTAGGGGTAGATGATAATGTCTAGAGGTAGGTTGTAATTCCTAACAATTGAGGGAGACATGGGCTAGAGACCAACACTTGAGGTGGTAGTTAGTGTGTTTATATTATGAGAGATTGTAAAGTTTTTGGTGAACTAAAAAACCGAGTGTGAGGTGTAAATGTTATTCGGGTGAGCGTAGAAAACCCGGTTATGATAGTGGACATCTCCTCGAGGTGAGGAACGGAGATGTAGGTCGTGGGGACCGAACTCCGTGATCATATCTTATGTTTGAGTTTGGTTTGGTGCACTTATATTTTTGTTCATCTTTATTGCCATTCTCTCATTGTTTATTTCATCCACTATATTGTTTATATTCACTTATATTTTTGTTCATCTTTATTGCCATTCTCTCATTGTTTATTTCATCCACTATATTGTTTATATTTTATTTACCCTTGTGATATTTGTATATCCTTGCATATATATCTTATTGCATATCATATTTCCTAGGATATTTGTTAATTAGTTTTAATTGGTATTTAAATTAGAATTAGATTAGCATAAACCCTATTCACCCCTCTTCTAGGGTTCTTTCCTAGTAGCTTTAGGGTGCTTTCAATATCCCTCTTCTCATATTTGTTTGATTGTTGACCATAATTAAAAAAAGATTTTTTACCATCCTTTTGTAGTTGTTTTTAATCTCTAGGGTTACATTGCATATAATAGTAGGAATTTACCAAAGTGATTTGAGCATCTTGTTTTAGCACACACTTAAAAATATTTTTAAGGACAAAACCCTTAATCAAGATAAGTTGAGATATTTCATCATCCTTTTCTTAGCCCACAAATCACTAATTTCTCACTACACAAACCCAAGTCTCTTTAAAACTCATTAGACATTGGCC